ATACAAGGGTTACCATAAAGTGAATCGCTGCACTAAGGAATTTTTCAAAGCTTTTCAAAACACACAAACACGAAAGAAACCTTCAAAATGAGAAAGTACCTAAAAGCCCATGGTAAACCATGGATGGAAAGGGTGCTAACACCTTCCCTTTCCATAATCTACTCCCCTTACTCAGAAATCTCGAAAAAAAGTCTTTTTCTGTTCTTTTCACCCTTTCCTTTATTGGATAAAAGAAAAGTCAATGGCGACTCTTTCTTACCGCGACATTTGCAAACAAAAACGCAAACCAGTATAACAGTCGGTTCTGCCACCGTATCACAGTAGGCACTGGATTGCAAGCAAGGAAGATGTTGATGGCACTGACATCTATAAACTGGTCTAAATTGGGGAACAGAACCAATCCATAGATCAAGAGAGTTAAGACATCTTCAAAGGCATGGTAACTCATAGAATCTAATAATATCTAAGCTTTCTTCATTAGAAAATTTACAAGGAGGCCCTTAACTCCACTTCTTCTTTCCCAATTGGATTCAATATCAGATGGTTTCAAATGTAGAGCTATGGCAACACTTTCAGCAACTGGATCTTGTTCTAAAGCGGTAAAAGGTACTTGCTCCAATATAGGTGAACCAAGTATCTTGGAGAATTCTTCCAATGTAGGAACCAACTGATAATCTGGAAAAATGAAGCAAAGGTGTTTAGGGTCGAAGAACTGGAACAGGACACTCATCAGACCTTCGTCAAACCCGGTAGTAACCAAGTTGAGCAAGTGACCATATCTCTTGTTGAACGATGAGCTCTCAGGAATTCTCAGGACCAATTCTTTGAGCTTGGGAGGGACCTCTACAAAATTGATTTGAATGGTCTTTCTGCGAATTGAATCCATGCCCTACAAAAAAAAGGAAAGATAAATCTCTAGGCCCTTGAAATGGTTAGCGTGTATGTCATGATATTTATGATGTTATGGTTATGCTCTAAAATCACAGATATATCAAGCAAGTCACACAAAAGACCCTAGGTTAAATGGCTTGTGCGGGTTTTTAAAGGTAAGTACTCTCTTGAAGTTTAGTTGGCTCAACCTGTCCTATTAATAGTAACGGGGTTCTAAGGAGTCTTATATCATCGACCTTTCGTTTAGGCACTGTTCTAGCTCAAGCACCAAAGTATTGCGGCTAGAATATCCCAAAAGTCCAATCTCAATGAGCGTATCATCGAGTATCAACCAAAATTCAGTCGGAACCAAAGTCGGCCATCTCGCTACTTTCTAATGCCTTCGAGCTTAATGACACTATAAGGAAGCCTAATGTTATCCTTGACTGACTCAAGGAACATTAGTACAAGCTAGAGTATCACGCTAATGTAGCTATCACTTCATCCATATTGGTCTACGCCATACAACTTTCATGATTTATTGCTACTTACATAAAAAGGTGCCCCAGATCCGGGTATAGGATCTTTAACATAGCCCAAACAAATACCCAAAATGTAAAGCAAGCAAGTCAAGCAAAGAAAGCAAGTAAAGGTGATCTAGCCATAAGGTAACCCCACTTTTAAATAATTATCCCCAGCAGAGTCGCCAGTTTTGTAATACGATGGGAGAACTGACTTGGTTGTTTTGCGTTTGATCGCAATTGTTGCGGATAGCAAGAGTCGCCACTGACTTTTCTTTTATCCAATAAGGTAATGTTGAAAAGAACAGGAAAGACCTTTCGAGATGTTTTCTTGAGTTCGGGTGGTAGGTTATGAAAATGGAAGGTGTTAGCACCCTTTTCATCCATAGTTATCTACGGGCTCTTAGTTGCTTGCTAGATCACTTGCTTTTGTTTGAAAATGTGCTTGTGGTATGGGTTTTGAAAGTATTTTAAAGAGTGTCTTCGTAATGGTTCTCGTTTCTATAAGAACGCGTACAAAAAGCTTTTTCTTTTAAAAAATGTTTCAAATGAAAGTGTTGGTGTGAAAAATGTTTTTGTTGTGAGCAAGCGAGCAACTATGGGCATCATACCTACTCAAAAGGTCTATGTTCTTTTCCTCCTCCTTTAGATGTTTCTATCTTACCATTGATTTGGTAAGAAACCCCATCATTGGATGTGAAGGGACGGGCGTGGGACGTTTGTATAGTCATAGAAGGCAACCTATGGGACGTTTTAGCAATTTTCATTTAGGGACTAGATTGTTTACCGAAGGAAACATTGAAGGCCATCGAGGGAATACGATCTTTTATCGAGGGCCTTTGCTAAAACGCCCATATTCGAGGGACATGACTATTCTTCCGAGGCAACAAGTGAGATTACCCTAAGGGTGCATGTGTGAATAGTGTGTTTGACTTGCTTGCATTTTATCTTTGATTTTTGGGTTGTCTACTTGTTGGTTTTATCTTACCATACATCCTAATTACTAACATTTGTACAAAAGCAATAAAAATGCAAAAAATAAATCCTACACAATTACAACCATATTGAATAGCAAGAAAATATAAAGACAAAATAAAAATAAAAGGATGAAAAATGAGCTTTTCGATCTAGGCAGAAACACCCTTTGATTCTGCCCTTCCTGGCCTCCTTCGATTTGAGCCTGGAATCAGTAAGGTCATGTCTTTTGATTTCACCCCTTTCCTGTTTCTTTCTAATGGAACTTGGAAGTCAGTGTGGCCGTCCTTCTGGCTACTTCTTTCGTTTGAGGCCTGGAGTCAACGTGAGGTACACTCTTCACCTCAAGTTTCTGCTTCCTTCTTCGACTGTAGGAATGCTAGGCCCTCAGATTGGGATTCGAAAGGCTTCAGTATTTAGCCAAACGAAGGATATAGGGAACCTGTTTTGAACTTTTAAACATGAAACATTCAAGTGTAACTTTCGAAAGCTACAGGCCATGGGTTAGCATAAGATCATTGGGTCTCAAAATCCAAATTCTAACTATTCAGGGTTGAAACTTTCAACATATAGGAAGTCAGGATCGAAGGTTAAAACATGGTCAAACTCCATAGATGAAATATCTACATTCTTTTGTTATTGGTATGTACACATGATATTTAAATGAAAGAGTTCCAAGTTTAGAGAGAACTTACCTCTTGAAGCGCTTAAATTGAAAGAAATGCAAGTGACTTCCTTGGTGATGAATGAAAGTTCGTTGGAGTCTCCCTGAGGCTAGTCCAGTAACTACTTTGTTTGAGTAGTCACTAAATTGAAGGAGGGTATATGATTGAATCGAAGGTTACTCTATAACAGGTAAGGGAGTGAATCAAAACATTATTATTTTGGTTGGGGAATGGGTCGAAGGTTAGTTATCTGGACACTAGAGGAGTGAATCAAAGGGTTCACTTAGTGTATGAAGGGGTCTGAATTTTTTAGGAGTGTTAGGAATATTTGAAAAAAAACGTTGGATGGTGTTTGAGAGTTTTAAGGAATTTCTCACAACAAGAGTTTTCTTACAACTATCTAGGGCCCCCTAAGATGTGTGGTGGAGGCTCATATTTATAGGTGATTTTGGATGATGTTTTAGGAGGGAAAACAAAAGAAATTTAAACAAAAAAGGCATGCTGTTTTTGTAGCTTTCGAGGGGCAGTATTCGTATGCCAAATTGGTGCAAGAGCAAAGGCAGTATGGCAGGACTGCTGTGCAGCAGTTTTGGAGTGTTATGGCCAGTGTATCAAGCCTGAACTTGGAAGCACATGAGACTTTGGCGAACAAGTATCTTTGGATATCTCAACCTTTTATTTTTGACCCCCTAGCCCTATCCTTCAACCAGACTTCTTTTCAGACAACAACATTTCTTTTCAAATCAAGGTGCTCTTCGAATGACTCATATGTGTATCCTTTGAAGGGGCCCAAATAGGTGTCTTTAAAATATGCCTTTAGTATGTTCCTTCAAATGGACCAAATGCACGCCCCTGGAATGGATCACCAAAGTATGTCATTTGATTGGGACATCCAGGTATGTCTGGAAAGTCCTTCGAATGTGCCACCATGCTACTTATTTCGAACGTGACAATGGTTATGTGTCATAGTGTAGAAATTGTATGTTGAAGCAAACTATTTCCAAGGGAGATACTGCCCAGTCGAAACTAGCATGAAAGTAAACAATGCTTTGTGGGCGCCATTTCCTTATGAATGCCAGCCATGGGGGAGCTTTTTGCCTTGTGCATTTTGGCCTAAAGGGAGTCTTGGTTTTTGTTAGTCGAAGGGATCATGCAAAGGGAAAATGGCCTCTGAATCGAAGAAAAGCTTTAAGAGGCTATTGCTTTATGACTCTAAGCAAACATGCAAAGAGCCTTTTCTCAAATGAAGGGTGTAACCAAAACTTGCGTTGAAGGGGGCCACACGCCCCAAACAAAAGATGCATGCATGAGGTCTAAATGCCTAAACAAAGCTTGCAACAAAGGAGGGCCACATGCCCCAAACGAAAGAGGCATGCAGGAGGCAAAATGTGCAATCGAAGGAGACCAGAAAAGAGGCCTTTTCCTCCTGAATCGAAAGACATCAGTAGGAGGCTTTTTGCCTTGTGAATTGAAGCTAGTTAAAGATAAGTGTTGGCCGATCAAAGCTTGCAACAAGTTGTTTCAAAGGGAGACTTTGGCCTTATGCCTGCTGGCATGGTGGGAAATTTTGCCTTGTGAATTTGGCAAATATGCAGGAAAGAGGCTATATGGCCAAACGAAAGATGTATACCAATCTTGCACAAAGAGACTAAGATGTTCAAGCGAAGCAAGAATCGAACTTATCCAAAAGAATTCTAGTGCCCAAACGAAGCAGGAAATGAACTTGTCCAAAAGAAGTCCAGTGCCCAACTGAAGGGTGTAACCAAAGCTTGCATCGAAGGAGCCAAAGTTCCCAATCGAAAGATGTAAAATCGAAGAAAACTTGTTTTTTCTTCAATTTTGTCAAAAAGAATATTTTCACCTGCTTTTCCCTTTTTAGCAATTTCCTCTTTAACTTGATGCTGAAAAATCCAATTGCATTTGTGTAAGCTTGAATTTTTGAGAATCCTTGTGAGAAATGCCTTGAGAAATGAGAGGGCAAATTTTGGGTACAATAGAGGTTGATAGGTTTTGCGAGATAGTTGAATCCATCAAAGTTGTGCTTCTTGATGCTGAGTTGAAGCAAGAACAAAACCATGTTGTTCAAAACTGGATTGGAAGACTCAATGATGTGCTTCATCCTGCTGATGACTTGCTAGATGAATTTGTTATTCAAGATATGAGACACAAAATGGAAGTACAAGAGAAGAACAAAGTGTCAAAGGTATTGCATTCTGTATCTCCAAACAAAATTGTTTTTCACTGTAAAATGGCTCATAGAATTGAAAAAATACGAAAGAGTTTTAATGATGTAGTACATGAAATGACTTAGTTGAATTTGAGCCAAAATGTTGTGGTGGTTAGGAAAACTAATGAAGTTAGAAGAGAAATTAGTCCTTTTTTTAGAATCGGATATCATTGGTAGAGAAAATGACACGAAAGGGATTATAAATTTGTTGAGACAACCACATAGAAACCACAATGTAACCTTGATTGCTATTGTTGGTATTGGTGGTTTAGGAAAGACGACTCTTTCTCAGTTGGTATATAACAATGAATAAGTGTAAAGTTTATGTGAAAAAAATATGTGGGTGTGCATCTCTGAAAACATTGATGTCAAAACTATTTTGAAGAACATGTTGGAGTCATTGTTGAATGTAACAACAGATGAAAACTTATCATTAGACAACTTGAAAAGTAACCTCCATCAAAATTTATCTGGAAGAAAGTACTTGTTAATCCTAGATGAGATTTGGAATGAGAGTCATCATAAATGGATTGAATTGAGAACTTACTTGATGTGTGGTGCTGAAGATAGTAAGATTCTAGTGTCAACTCGTAGTAAAACTATGGCTCAGACAATGGTTGTTAGTGATCCCTGTGTTTTTAATGGTTTGACTTCACAAGAATCACGGGGTTTGTTAACGAACATCGTTACATATGGGAACAAGGTCGAAGGAGTGAATCAAACTCTTGAATCAATTGGTAAAAAGATAGTAGAAAAGTGAAATGGAGTTTCATTAGCTATCAGAACACTATGAGGCATATTACAAAGTAAAAGTAAAGAGAGTGAATGGAACAATATCTTAAAAGGTGACTTTTGGAGATTATGCGAAGATGAAAATAGCATCATGTCTATTCTCAAACTTAGTTATCAAAGCTTGTCGCCTCAATTGAGACAATGTGTGATACGGTGGCAGAACTGACTGTTTTTACTGGTTTGCGTTTTGCGATCACAAAATGTTGCGGTAAGCAAGAGTCGTCACCGACTTTTATTTTATCCAATCATGGAAAAGGAAAAAGAACAAAAAAACCTTTTTCGAGATGTTTCTGAGTTCGGGGGGTAGATTATAGAAAGGGAAGGTGTTAGCACCCTTTCTATCCATGGTTTTCCATGGGCTCTTAGGTACTTGCTCATTTTTCAAATTGCTTGTGTGTGTTTAATTTGAAAATGTTTTGCTTCATGATAACCCTTGTGTCAGTCCTCAAGGGTGTGACGAAGTTTGTTTTGAAAATTTGTTTTGAAAGGTGTTTGCGTGAAAAGTTTTTACTGAGCGAGTACTTAAGATTCTACCTACTCGAAAAAAGATTATTCGTTCTCGTTTCCTTTAGACAGCGCTATCCTACTATTAAGAAGTAGGTAGCATCGTCGTTGGAGTTGTAAGGGACATTCGAAAGGGACAAATACAATCACTAAAGTAATAGTTAGAAAACCTTAGTAGTAACCCTAGAGTCTTAAGATCTTTTCGAGGCAACGTTTCCGAGGCAACGTTTCCGAGGCAACATTTCCGAGGCAACATTCGAATGGGACATTTGATATTTTAGACAGGAGGGCGACCACTAAAATTTCCTATGCTTAATGACTGTTTACCGAAGGCAACCGGAGTGAGGCAAACCCTAGGAGTGAACATGTGCATGTGAACTTTTTTCAGTTATTTAGTCTTTGCACATTAGGTGATCTACCGTTTTAAATTTCAAGCATTCTTTTCATACAATCCTATTAGCCATGCATCTAGACAGTTATAGATTGCGGGAATTTAAAGTGCGAAAAATAAAAACTAGCTATTACAAGGCTTTGGGGAGGGGGATTAATTACATAACTAAAAGTGGGGGAAACGCGATAAATAAAAACCCTACTTTTAACTATTACAAACCAATAAGCAGTTACATAATTATGGACAAATAATTAACAAGCGCGCGGCAAATTAAATGCGAGGACGATTGAAATAACCTAAAACCCTAATTGAGAGAAAAAGTATTTTTGTAGATTTTTATTTGAGAAAACATTTAAATTACAAATCAATTAAACCTAATTTCTAATTGTTTTTAAATTATGAAAGAAATTAAATTAACCTAATTTTCTAATTAAATTAATTAATTAAAGAAATAGATATTTATGAGAAAAATGATTTTTGATGTATTTTTAAAGAAAATTAATTAAATTATGTACAACTAAAATCCTAATTCTAATTATTTTTAATTAAAAAAAGATTAAATTGCCCTAAGTTAATTAAACTAACTAATTTTAAAAAATAAAAATATTATTAAAAAAAGGATTTTGTGATTTGTTAATAAAAAATAATTTTGTGTTAATTAAAAGAAAAACAAAATAATTAAAGAAAATAAACAAAGAAATTAAAGAAGGAAAAAAAACAATAGAAAAATAATAAAATGGGCCTGTTGTTGAATTGCTGAAGGGGGTGTGAAGCTGAAATTCCAAGCCCAAGAATGCTGAGCCCAGTCAACGACGCTGGATCCTGTGGAGCTGGCCTTCACGAGGTCCATCATGAGGATGCAATCTAGAGACATTGGATCTAGGCAGCGTGCCATACAATGGTGATGAGGCATAGGTCCATGGTATGCTTGTTTGATGAGAAACACCAGCTCTGCCTGAAATAAATAGGAAAATAACAAAAGGCACACGCCTGGGGTCGAATCCAGGACGTGTGCATCAAAGGCGTGCCTCTCAACCATCTGTGCTGTTTGTTCTTTTGTTAACATAGATAAATGAAATATAATATAATACAAAAGCACATGATGCCTAGAAAAACGCGCGTGAATTCAAATGGACCAGTGGGATGGTGACAAGTCATTGTCTTCTTCCCTGTCTGTCGTCTTAGGTTATTGACCTATACCTACAGACGTTTGCTGTAACTATAGCCTTGCAAAACTCAAAAGTTCATATCAAGCATGATAAATCAATTCCATCTATACCAATCAACTCGTCTTGGCCTCACGAGCATCATGGTATCATTTTCTTGGCCTAATTTTTTCTGTATCAAGAAACCCCAAAACTTCTCACGAACCCTAACAATGGCAAGTGTGGATCCCTGCACTATTAATACAATTAAAGGATATAGAAAGTTTGCAAACATGATTATGTACAAGAATATATGAATAGAATGGATTTTATAATGCGTAAAACATAGTAAACTATTTTGAGAATTTTGGGTAAACCGTGATGTGTCTAGGCGATGGTTCTTGATGTTTTGAAGGCTGCAAATGATGTTGTTGGCTTCAGGAGATGGCCAGGAAGTGATTAGGGTCTTTAAATGGCCTGGAATCGTCCTCTAGGGAAGAAATCAAATGCACACTTTTTATCCATTTTTTTATTTTTTGTTCTTGCTCCCCACGACTGCAAAACCCCTCCTTTTGATCTGCAATTGTTATGCACTTATAGTAGACTGAATTAGGTCAATAAAATTGGCATGAATCTTGAGAAATAATGGAAATTGGATTTGATTTTCTCTTGTATGATATATTTCTAAAACAAGCTTCAATCCAATCTTTTTCAATCCAAATCCACTTTGCACGAATTGGCTGGCATGTTAGCTGTACATGAACTCAAAATGTGCATAAAAAATCAAGGATTTGATTTGATTTCATTATTTTACTATTTTATATTGATTTGTTTTGATTTAAATGAAATAAAATCAAAATAAATAATAAAAATAATAGAATAATAGGTGGAAAAGCTCAGTGGTCGTGGGTCCTATTAGAAACATGTTTCAAACAAGAAAACATGGGCCCCTTTGGGAAAAATGCAAATTTGATCAATGTTGACTTTTGACAATTTTCCAAAAATTGCCAACTTTGACAATGCATATCTCTCTCAATTTTGACCCTAGGAGGGTGTTATTAGACTTTTTAGAAAGCTTAGGATGTCCCCTAACCAACCATTCTGGTTTCATTTCAATTGGGTCTTCCATGTTCATGTAAGAAGCTTTGATCCAAAAGGTGTTTTTGTTGACTTTTCAAAAGGACCTATAATATAGAAATTCATATCTTTTTATGAGTGCATATTTTGAACTTGTGAGATGAAGATGAATTGTAGGTAATTGCATCATCTTAAAAATGAGACTTGGATGGAAACTTTCTGATAAATTATGAAGAAGTTATGCTTGGTCAAAGTTTGGTTGACTTTTCCTAAGAAACCCTAATTTAGCAACTTTTGGGTTTTGATGAATTTGGAGCATTCCTTGGGGAATCATGATCAACCCTTGATAAAATGATGAAAGTAATTTCAAAATGTTGATGTTGACCAAAAATATTGAGGTTTGACTGTATGTGAGCCACAGTTGACTCTTGACCTAGTACAGTCGATTCTCAAGTATCTGAACAGTTGACTGAGCAAACTTCTTATGCAAGGCCTAAAACTTGGTATGGATGATCTTGGGAACATATTAGGACCTTGGAAAGAATTTGAGACCTTTGTGGTTCACGCATCTTGATGAAAATGGAAACCCTAATTTGAGGTATACTGCCTTAGGAGAGAGTTTGTCTGGTTAACTCTTGGACTTCCTTGAGCAACTTGGGGACCTCAATTGAAATTGGTTGAGTAAAATGGGAGGGAAAATTTTGGGGTACAATAGCTGCCCCTGTTCAATCTTCTTAAACCTGAGGATGTAGATTGGCTACTCTGCCTTTCGTGATCTGAAGGTGGAAGATGATTGAACACTAGAGTGCCCAGAAATTTGCACTCGCATGAAGTGGCACTTGATTTGTGATATCGGGAATGGGCTTACAGATGCTATTTGGAGGTCGATAATGGAAGATTGCCGAAGATGGACTTAAAGATTCCATCCTGGATGCGATGAAGAATTTTCGAAGATGGGCTTAAAGATGCCATCTAGAGAATGTGGATTTCCTAAGATATTCCTTTGACGAGAGTCCCCGTTACTGTTGTTGATGAGGAATCTGTTGAGGAATGTTGATATTTGTCTTGGGAGAAATAGAATTTTAGGAGCTTCAGTTTTCTGTTACTCTACTGGGGAAATAACTCCTGCTTGAGGAAGCGGAAGTGAACTGCATATCTGGTCAGGGTACAAGCTGCACCGTGACTTACTTGGGAAATGCGAAACTAATCGTGTTTGATTAGGTCCAGGTCTTAACGTGTTGTGGACTGCCGTCTGGAGATAAGAGAGAAGGAACCTGGATAGTAAGGTTATGAGAAGGAACCTGGATAGTAGGGTTGCTTCGAAATGAAAGCCTGGATAGTAGGACTGTGATAAGGAGCCTGGATAGTAGGGTTACTTCGATATGAAAGCCTAGATAGTAGGGCTGTGAGAAGGAACCTGGATAGTAGGGTTACTTCGATATGAAAGCTTGGATAGTAGGGCTGTGAGAAGGAACCTGGATAGTAGGGTTACTTCGATATGAAAGCCTGGATAGTAGGGCTGTAAGAAGGAACCTGGATAGTAGGGTTACTTCGATATGAAATCCTGGATAGTAGGGCTGTATGAAGGAACCTAGATAGTAGGGTTACTTCGATATGAAAGCCTGGATAATAGGGCTATGAGAAGGAACCTGGATAGTAGGGTTACTTCGATATGAAATCTTGGATAGTAAGGTTGTGAGAAGGAACCTGAATAGTAGGGTTACTTCGATATGAAAGCCTGGATAGTAGGGTTGTGAGAAGGAACCTGGATAGTAGGGTTACTTCGATATGAAAGCCTGGATAGTAGGGTTGTGAGAAGGAACCTGGATAGTAGGGTTACTTCGATGTGAA